TGTCACGGGGAAGGTAATTTTCCTTGCATTTGCAGTAGGTTGGGATTTCACCTCTGCCCACAATGCTATAAGCAGAAGTTTGCGAAATGCCTGGAAGAAAATGCAAAGCTTCTTGAATTTCAAGTCTTTTCACATTGTGTTCTGGACTCAGACATGGGGACTTGTTTCCATGTCAAATTTTGCCCAGGTGTATGAATTTTTCCATCCAAAAAAAAGAGAGAAAAACTCTAGAGGAATGTCTTCTCTCTCTTTCCTCCTTGCCCTATCCTCCCAAATGAGAAAACCCTCATGAACAATGTGTTTCCTCCTAGTTCTCTCAATGTAAAAATAGCTCTTTTCCCCCCCAAAATGTGCAGCGTAATGTGTTGCAGGGCTGTTAAATTGCACGGAAGGATGAAATTGGCTATGCAAAATGCCCCAGATTGTGCACTCTCAGTCATACGTATTAGTTGTCCTTCCACAAGTCCAAGGCAAAACCAACCATGCATTTCTTATGATTCAGATTTCAAACAGGACATCTGAGACCAATTCTGACAACATGGGGCCATGAAGGCCCTGATCCCTTCAAGACATAAACCCTTCTAACTTCAAGCGTGGAAATAATCCTACGGATGGCTACTCCCTTGCTTAAAATTAAGCACATATGTAAATGTTTGCATGGTCAAAGCCTAGCAAAACACATCCCTTTCTGGAAGTATGAGGTGTTAATCCAACATCCTGGACAAATTCCAATTCTGAAGCCATTATTAATGATAACCATATTGGCTTTATGATGTCTATGGTATCAGGCAGTGTGATAGACACATTGCAAGTCCCTACTCTAAATCTCCCCTCTAGTTTCATTTGGAAAGTCAATTAGGAGAGCTTGTTAACTCCAGAAATGTGGCCGTCCTTTGCAGAGGCACAGAGAGAAGGTCTGTGCATTAAGTGGACTGAAAGTCCAGCATTACTCACTTCTGAATTATCCCGTCTGCAGACTGGAATAGCAGGGAGGGTGGCAGTGTGTGCGTGTGTGTGTGTGTGTGTGTGTGTGTGTGTGTGTGCGCGCATGAGGGTGGCAGGGGTGTGTGTGTGTGTGTGTGTGTGTGTGTGTGTGTG